GGCTCCTGGCATCGCTACTAGCAAGGACGCTACTAGGGGCTCCTGGCCGTACTGCTAGGAGCAAGTAGCTAGTAAGAAGAAGCTACTAGGGGCTCCTGGCATCGCGCGCTTTGCGCTTTCATTTCGCTTTCTGGTCACCAAGGCGCTGGGATTGACAACTTTTTGGTTGGTCCCTTGGTCTGCACCGTTGCCCGCACTGGTTTCGCACAGGTTCTTGAGCCCTTGGAAGCAACACGTGGTATGTATATTATTGAATTATTGCACAGTGTTTGTGCTGAGATTTCGTGGCCAGAAGTGTGCGGTCGTCCAAAAAACAAGCTTGCAATGCAATCGTTGCCCTGACGCTGATGGGGCCGCACAGGGAGAGAGAGAGAGAGAGAGAGAGAGAGGGCGGGGGAGAATTTGCCAGTGTTCCCCGCAAGTTGCCCTGCAATGTCTTGGAAACAGACACTAATAGAAACCTCAACTACAAGTGCTAGTGGACAGTGTTCATCACTTGTCAATTTCATCCAAGGCCAACTATTTCTTTGCATTCTATGTGGCACTTCGCCTCTCGTTCGAAGGGAACTGTTCACTTGCGCTTTGCCGCTTTGTGCTCCCAGGCCTTTGGGACCGAAATCCGGAGGCTTCTCAACATTCCATCACTCAAGGCGGCGCTCCGAACGGAGCAAAGGGCATCACTAGGGGCTCCTGGCCTTACTAGGAACACAGGGCATCGCTACTACTACCATTCTATTACTAGTAACAAGAAGCTACTAGGTTGGAGGCCATTGCTAATAGGTTGCAGGCTTCTTAACGTTTTATTACTCAAACCTGTTTTGAGTCGGGTGAATCCGGGTGCGCTGACACTGTGACGGACGTGTCCAGGATCTCTTAGGCATGCATTGGGCCTTGCCTTGGACGTGAACTTGGGAACGAAAAGAAACTAGACCTTCGCTATTAGGCCATCACTATTAGGTTGGAGGCGCTTTTAGACCTTATTTTGGTTCTTTGTTCGAACACCTGCAGGTTCTGAACTCGTTTCCGCCCGCCAAGGTGGTGCTATGGTATTTCAGTGCCTGGGGATCTCCGCGTCGTGGGGGCTGGTTCTATGGGTGTGGAGACTCAGCCGTCGTCTTCTTTGCTTTTGCAATGCATACTTAGCTTCTTGTGACGTTCGTAGCGATGCCAGGAGCCCCTAGTAGCGTCCTTGCTCCTAGTAAGGCCAGGAGCCCCTGGTAGCTTCTTTCTAGTGCGCGGAATATATCATATCCATTGATCTCACAACATGAAATATTCACAAACCGCCAGGCCATATTGCCCATCAGAGGAGCAACAGGACCGACAATGAGCGAAAGACCGAAGATCCGGAAAAGCAATGGCCTCCAATGGCGATGCAGGAGCAATATCGTTTGACGTTTTCGTTTTATTGCTTCCTCAGCACTTTTGTGGTGCATGTGAGCTGCTCAGAATTCCGTGTGATCTATGTGTGGAAGACCAACGCTGATTGAGGTGCTGGTGTGCGCAGCCGCATCCATGTTTCATTCTGTCTGCTTCTCGTGCAGCTTTGCACAAACAAAAGGTACTACTAGCAACAAAGCACATCGCTACTAGGAACTAAGGACATTTCTACTAGGAAGAAGAAACTACTAGGGGCTCCTGGCATCGCTACTAGGAGCAAGGGCATCGCTACGAACGGATCATTTTTGTACCAGATCTCATGCTCTCAGGTAGGAACAAGTGCATCGCTTTTAATAACAAGTGCCTTACTAGTAGTAACAATGTTTGCTATTAGTTAATTATAGTTAATTTAATTCTAATAGCTTCTTGTTACTAGCGAGGCACTTGTTACTACTAGCATTTTTGTACCAGATCTCATGCTCTCAGGTCATGGTTGCGCGTGCTTTATATCCCCAGAACATCAAAGTCGTCACTGAAAAGAAGGCCTTTGAACACATTCACTCCGCGAATACATTCACTCGATTCTTTACAAAGTGTTTGTCAAACCTTGAGCCGACAAGAACGGTGGGCCTGCATTTGCCAAACGATGAGTGAAAGGACGAAAGGTACGGTCATCGCTAGTAGGTAGGCCATTGCGATTAGCAAGAAGCTACTAGGAGCAAAGGGCATCGCTCCTAGGAGCAAGAACGCTAGTAGATCCTTGCCTTACCACTAACAAACAGTTATTCAGATTTCTTTTGCTCTTAGGTTGGAGGCGAGGCCCAAACAAATTTTTTGTTTACCTGTCAATCGCCGTCAGGTGCCAGGCTTCCTGCAGTCTATTCTCGACGCATGTCCTCAAAGCATCAGCCGAAAACTTATTTTGGAATTCTTCGTCTTCACTTTTGATCCGTGTACCTCCTGGCATTGCTACCAGTAACTAGAAGCTACTAGGCGGAGGCCATCCCTAGTAGGTTGGAGGCCATCGCTACTAGGAGCAAGGAGCTACTAGTAGCTCCCATTAACATCTCTTGGCCTTTTCGTCGCAGTTGAGGCCTTCACGGAGAGGACTGTTACGAGTGTCCTCTCTACACGTTTGTCGCTACTCGGTTGGAGGCCATCGCAGGTCTACACCGGTCAAGTGAGTTTCCTAACACGGATCTCACCTGGTGTTTAGGTGCGAGCCCGTTGTATGTGCACCGCATGTAGGTAAACACACATAGCAACCAACACGTTGCAAAAGCGCAAGAGCGAGCTGTCCAAGCTGTGCACATGTATGCACCGCGGGTAAAGTCTGGTATGTCAATCTCATTTTCCACACAAGGGCATCACTACTAGTAGCTCCTGGCCTTACTACTAGGAACAAGAAGCTACTAGTAGCAAAGGGCATTGTCTGCTGGTAGCAATGACGCGACTAGCTTGGAGGCCATCGCCACTAGTTAAGTTTCCCGCAAAATCTAGGAATCATATCATAAGTGCGAGCGCTTCGTTGAAGAAGCGTGAGTTATTTTGCGTCCTAGCTAGGAGCGTGCTAATGCAAGTAGCTTGCCTCCTTACTTGATTAAGTAGGCGTCTACTTAATGAAGTAAGTAGGAGCGGGTTGGAGGCCATCGCTCTTAGGTTGGAGGCCATCCCTAGTAGGTTGGAGGGCATCGCTTCCAGGTTGGAGGCCATTGTTCTCAGGTTGGAGGTCATCCCTAGTATGTTGCGGGCAAGGTTGTTGCGGTCCAGGGTCTTTGTTTGCTATTAGTTATAAGTCTCCCTAGAACAAGAAGCTACTAGGGGCTCCTGGCATCACTACTAGGAGCAAGGACGCTACTAGGGGCTCCTGGCATCGCTACTAGGAGCAAGGATGCTACTAGGGGCTCCTGGCCTTACTACTAGGAGCAGGACGCTATAGGGGCTCTTCTTCAGTGCGAGCGCTTCTTCAAGGAAGCTCCTTCCCACCCTCAGGCGGGGGAGCTTCCTTGAAGAAGCGTGAGCTATCCTGCGTCTTGGGTAGTAGCGTACTAGTAAGGTAGTAGCTACCTAGCTTCTACAAACTACCTCTAGCCACTGCCTCCCTCCACGGCCCACCCCCCTTGTGAAACATTTATCATTTATCTCTATATTAACATATCAATATTCGTTAGCTATGGTGTGCACTGAGCTGTGAGAAACGGGCGAGCTTCTGATCAGAAAGCAGGAGCCAGACGTCGGCTTCATGTGGCAGAACGGCCGTTGCGGCCTCAGTGACATCTAATCACCTTCCTGAGCTGCGTGCGTTGAGCGTTGCAAGCGCTTCAAATCATAGGAGCGGAAATGAATAGGAAAACACATTTAAATGAATAGGGCATGAGCGGAAATGAATATGTTAGCCGAGATTGCTGCGAATGTTTGTGGTGCGCTCAAGCCACTGCGTCCAAGCGCCTTCTATAGGAGAGAGTTGGAGTTTGCGGTGTCTCTTGGCTTGCGTGTCACCTGCCACATGGCAACCACATGGCCAGCAGTAGACGTGTCCAGCGTTCATGAGTCATGCGTTCTTCACGCGCATTATTGAGCATCCTCCATCTGCAAAAGCGCCATGCGTGGCCTAACCTTCATGAAGATCGACTGGGGTGTTCCTGGCAAGGTTTGAGTGAGTCGCGATCTTCAATTTTTGCAACCGGCACCGGCAACGGGCAAAGGCCTGTACGCGGCAGATAAACACACAGATCAAATGATAGTTCAATTGCTGGTAGAATGATTAGATTCCCAGTAGCTCAGTGTTTGAATTCGGAATGTTATGAACTTTTCACCTTCGCTGGGCGCAGGTCGGGGGTTGGAGAAAGAAAGCGACGAAAAGAGAGCCACGTAGATGCGACGATCAAACGATCCATCGATTTCTGCTAATGAGATCGAGAGAGAGAGAGAACCACAGAGCTAGAGACACACAGCTGGATGGAGTGATGGGTAGACAGATGAACCGGCACCGCTGCCATCCACCCTACTGTCACCAAAGAGCAATCCGGCCACCCTCCAGACGCGCGGTCTTACTGCTCCCCTAGTAGCGCTGCCCTTTGCTCCTAGTAGCGTCCGATCGCTCCTAGTAGCGATGCGCCTTGGGAATGTGAGCACTTTGTCATCCTGTATTTGACCCTTTCCTGTGATGAGAATCTTGCTGCAACTTCATCAGTGTTGGGTTGAAATTTCAGGAAAGGAAGACCTCCGCTTGAAGACATGGAAGCAGGACCAGCAAACAAACAACCGTGGAGGCAACCGCTGAAAGACTTGAAGGTGCTTGAAATGCCTGATGGTACCTGTGTGCCTTCCAAATTGGCCAGGAATTGTGCAAAAGGCACCACAACTGTGTGACCATTGAGATTCACATCAGACCTGCCGATCCATTTTCCACAGGAGAAGCGGTTGCGTGACACAACAGTGCTTGAACCGATTCGGGTCGACCTTTGCGAGGAACCATCCAGTCTTTGGGTTACACCTTCTATGCCATGCCGCAGGATGCAATTGACGCAGTTTTTTTTGCAACACATGAAGGACTACTAGGAGCAAGGACGCTACTAGGGGCTCCTGGCATCGCTACTAGGAGCAAGGACGCTACTAGGGGCTCCTGGAATCGCTA